CTCAGCATTTCAACATTGCATCAACTGATGAACACACTCATTTTTATTTGAATTATCGCTCAGTGGGTTATTCAAGGCTTTTGTCTTTCAAACACATTAAAATTCACATTGCTTCTTATTTACATTCAATGCAGGGATTCCCAAACTTTTTTGTCATCTTATCCTTTTTCACCTAATATATTTACTTGAAGTAACCTTGAGATTTTAAAGTAAATATTTTAATAATTAAATATCACATTTGCTTGTTCACGGTTCTCTGATGTTGGCTAATCGTCACATGACATGCAGGTAAACAAATAAAATATATATTTTTTTTTTAGTAAGTGTTTTATTTTGATTCATGTTATTTTAAAATGATTTATTTTAATTTTACATTTTAATTATTTAATTAATTGAATTGCTTTTCATTAAACTCACGAGCCCCCTGCAGTTCCTTGTTTGGGAAACCTTGATAATGTAATGAAATGTTTAATGCACTTCATGCTGTCAATAACTATGAATGGAATATATTGTCTTTTTCTTTGCATTTTTATGTCAATATGGTACAAGATTTTCCCATTTAAATCAATGTGATAAATGACTTAGGTCAAAAGTAGTCTGATTATATTACCTAAAATGTGTAAAGTAATGGATTAAGTTACTAACAACAATTTTTGTCATGTAATTTGGAATCAGTAATGAACTACAATTTGTAAGTAATCTGTTTGCTCAGGAGCTGTGGTACTTTTAGGGTAAAACACTACTGCTGCCCATGCGTCTGTAACTTTAACCCAGTATCATGCCAGGTTAGACACTGCATGTTCAGCGTGGGTGAATCAAACATAAAAAGCATAACTTTTTATTGTTCTTCCTCACCCATTTAACAACTAACAAGCCAACATGTGACATTCACAGCATACCATTCACTGCCTACTAAAACATTTCACGTATATGCATCTTCTAATGGTCTACAGTATGTGCATGTTCTGTATTCAAACTGAACAGGGAATGGTAAAGAATAAAGCTTTCAGTGCATTTTCAGGGTCTCAGTGAACACCTCAAAATGCAGAAATTTTGTCTGATGGTTAGATTTAGAAGTAAGAGATGCAAAATAAGCTCAGTATAAACAGCATGACCTATAGAAAAAAAGTTGATTGATATTCCTTCATATTTTTAGCGATATATAAACAATTAAATTAAATAAATAATAATTTTATTTATTAGATTAATTATATATTATAATACATTTTTAAATAAATAATTGGCATTTGGCAATGGTAAATACTTGCTAAAGAAAATGTGTTGAGATTTGCTTGTCTTTTGACAACTTCGTTTCTGTAGAAAAGGTGTAACTTGTTTGTCTAGCATGCTTGAAGGTAATTTTTTTTCTTGTTCTTGTTATGACACCAAAACAAAAACATGAAACAAATCAAGTTGTGTCTTAAAATCTTTGTGTCAGGTGCAGTTTCACAGAGATAGAGATGATGGCTCCTTTTGTATCTTTTTTTAAGTTACTTGCACTTTAACATGCATAAAGGAAAACGGCTAAATAACTCAATTTTGTCATGGAGACAAAAGTAAATGTTTTATTTTAACAGTTATATTATAATGTGCAATGAATACTTGTGGCTGGTTAATATTTTTTAATTCTCCCTTAAATTGATGTCTACCGAAGATACATTGATTTGTTGGTGTTTGAATTTACTGTCAAAATGTATTGTCATACATTAGCACTGTCCATGTATACACTGGTTCCTGATGTATTCCTAATGTGCTCATTGTGCCCTAGTGAATGTGGATGGGTTAGGAAGCTCTTTGATTGATCAAAGCACAGATAATGCAATATGTGCAAAAAAAGACAGATCATGAGGAGTGTTTATTTGATATATTCCTCAATTATTGTCTGTTCATAAGTCCATTTTATTAAGAATGACCCTTGAACCTTGTTGTTATTTAAAAAAAAAACACTTGAAACTTAATAATAAGTGACTGAAAGTATAAACCAAAACTTAAAAAACTAAGGAAGCCTTCCCTAGAGTAATAAATAAAATATTATGTCATATGTGAGCTTAAAAGAAGACAAATATGCACAATATATCAATAATATATTAAATTATCATTGTTACGTACTAAACGTTTTTGATGGCATGAAAGATTCATTTCTTGTCTTTTTCAGCATTGCACTTTTGTACACATACAAAGATCAAACTTTACAAACTTTTTTTTATAAACAGAACACACCTTGGAATCTCCTATTATGATGCTGCATAGTTTTATGCTGTTTGAAAACCTGTAAAGCCAGTTTCATTGTCAAACAAATATGTGAACATAAAGATTTGTTAATATCCATTGGAACTATTCCAAAGCAATGACATTTTCATAGTGTCTTTTTGCACTTGATATATTAATGTGCAGTACATTGTTATCAATATTGTGTTTAGAAAGCTATAAGAAACGGAGAGAAACAAACTACATTATTTAAAATATTGATCTAAAGGTAAAACTTCAAAATATGATCAAGTCAAAGAGTTCATTTTTAGTAATTAAGTTCTGAAGCAAATACATAAAACATACATACATGTACATAGCATAGCCAAAATGTCCTTTATGTAAAGTTCATATAGTTATTTCATGCTGAGAATCAAGTTTGTCCATTGACAGAATCTTTGTCTGAATATTTTAAAAATTTTTGTCATCTCCATTGTATAAGAGTTGTTGGTTTCATTGTGTAGGTGTGACCAGGGCAACTCAGGCTTCAGTGGAAACATCTGGAGAGGTGTGTTTATGTCAGGATCTAGGAGATATATAAGTTCAGTCAGCAGTGAAATCAGAAAGATGAAGATGTTCTGGACACTGAGTTTGGTCTTTGTGATCACTCTCCTAACCAAAGGTAAATGCCTTCATCTTTATATCATGTTCTTTATCAAATATGTTACTTGCTCCTGACAAAATTAATTAAATAATTAAAGAACCAAGACAAAAACACAATATACCGATTTTATTTTTACAAATTGTATTATTTATATTTATTATTACTTTTATGATCTGTCTATATGTATATATGTGCGTGTATATATATATATATATATATATATATATATATATTGACCAGATGCTATCATTTTACTTCAGTTTATTTCATGTGGTGCTTAAAAGTACATTAATTGTGCCAATTTGGTCTGAGTGGCTTGCCACAGGCTCCGTGTGTCTCTGCTGTCTGTGAATTGATTGTTGATGAATACTTGATGGATTTGGTGAATATCAGTTGTCTTTTTTCAAATTTGATCTTGTGTCATCTCCTCCAGGGTGTGACTGCCAATCTTTCGGTAAATATTTTTTCATCACATCATAATACTGAGTAACATCTTAACCTTTTTCTGAGAGTGTCAGTGTAATGATCCTTTCCCTCTCTTGTTAAAAGCATGTGGCAGTGCGCCTCTCAATACAAAAATTGTGGGGGAACGAATGCGTCTGCCGGCGCTTGGCCATGGCATGCCAGCCTTCACAAGTATGGGAGTCATTACTGTGGTGGATCACTCATCAACAGTGAGTGGGTTCTGTCAGCAGCTAACTGCTTTCCAAGGTAACCCACATAAACACCTTTAATAACATGTTTCCTTCACCTTGATGAATATTATGATTGTAAACTTGGTCATTGTTCTCTTAGTCACAGTCTCAATCCTACATCCTATACCGTGTACCTGGGTCAACAGAGTAAAAAACTAACCAATTCAAACGAGTTATCCAGAAAAGTCTCTGAAATCATACGTCATCCAGATTACGACAACCTCCCTCATGACAATGACATGGCACTGCTGCATCTCTCCTCACCTGTGAACTTCACTAATTACATCCAACCAGTCTGTCTGGCAGCAGAGGGAAGCACATTCAACAGTGACACAATGTGGGTCACAGGTTGGGGAAATGCTAATTCAGGCGGTAAGAAGCAAGATATTTTTATGCTTGCCACCTGGTGCCAGATGCTTGAAGTCTGATTATATGTCTATAAAATATACATCATCTATAGTTTAAGTTTGCTTTTATGGCCAGGTAAAACCATCATATATTTGACCATTTACAGTTCAAACTTTATCTCCATTGGACCGAATATCCTATGGGTAGCACTCTGACAACCCATGTTCAAGTCCTGGATAGTGGTGCTTTCACAATCCCATTCCCCTCTTTCTGTCCACTTCCTGGCAAAAAAAACAAACAACAACTTTATTTCCAAATACTGACAAATACTTACCAATTTGCCAATTTTATTAATTCCTCTTTTACATAAAGTTAAACAATAGTTAACATTGGAATATCGCGCCATATAAGATGTATTGGCAAGAATGTATTGGCAATGTCCACTCAGCACCACACCAGTGGACACGTATGGTGACAGCGATTAAAACACTGGAGATTGCAAAGCCCTATTGCGCAATTGAAATATTTTTAAATATCAGAAGCATTAAATGAAACCAAACGCATTGTTTAAATCAGTGTTATTTTAGTATCACTGAATATTTTTTGTAGCTTTTATTAATAGTTTGAATTAGTTTTTATTTTTAGAAGTTTTAGTAATTTGTAGTAAGTTTTTGTTTTTGAAATATGTCTATATGGTTTTAATGTATTTTTATCCATTGATTTTATTCAAGACAACTTTTTTTTTTTTTAAATGCAGAATTGAAAATAGTTGGGTTTGGTTAAAGTTGTAACACAAAAGCATATATAATCTCCGAAACATTATTATGAGACTCTTGGTGAGAATCCATGGCAGAGTTATTATAGTCAACTAAAACAAATGTTTATTACTTTAAATTAAATAAAGTTAACTGAAATAATATAAAATTAATTTCATTTTTATTTAGTTCAAATTGAAAATGGAAGTAAAACTAAACAGTGTTTAAAAAAAAAATTTTTTTTAATTCTTTTTTCTGGTATAAAGATCAGCATATTACTCAAATCTCTGCCTGTCTTTTGAGCATTAATGATGAGTTTTTCTCATTCACTGTTTCGCACAACAACAAATCCTACAGGAGGTGGATGTGCCCGTGGTTGGAAACAGTAAGTGTAACTGCCTTTATGAAGAATCAATAACAGACAACATGATGTGCGCTGGACCGTTGGAAGGTGGAAAAGATTCTTGTCAGGTATCGACAGTACATTGCTTGTACTATTTAATGCAATAATAACATTTTATACAATTTATATATACTCATATATATATATTTTCTTTTACTGTACAGGGTGACTCTGGAGGTCCAATGGTCATCAAACAGGGCTCTAAATGAATCCAGGGTGGCACTGTGAGTTTCGGTGAAGGTTGTGCTCAGCCTAATTTTCCTGGCGTGTACACCAGAGTGTCTAAGTACCAAAACTGGATCAATCAGCATGTCGGCTTGAATAATACGGGTTTCATCCATTATGCCTCCACTACTCCCATTCACAGTGAGACCTGTCCTACTCAACGTATGTTCCTTAATATGACCATGACAAAGCAAAATGAAATTGTCCATCATTGAATTGGTCTTACAGCTTGCTTACACTTCCCCTTTAGCTGCCATTTACATCTACCTCTCCTCCTCTCTCACTTTTCTCTCCAGCGCCATTGTGTGAAGGTTCTGCAGGTTTATGGCCATGGATGGCTAGTGTAACTTATAACAATTATCCGATGTGTGTAGGAACTTTGGTCTCTGACCAATTCGTCATGACCTCTGCTAGCTGCTTAGCCAGGTAATCATTTTAGGAAAACTTCATTTTATATGAAATCAGTTACCTAAAAACTGATAACTTGTGCCCTCACATTCAACATCTCATTTTTCAGATTCATGGGTATGAATGGATGGGCAGTCGTCCTCAATGTTGTCCAATGGGGATGCTCCAGCATGCCAGTGGAAGTTAATGTGACAAATGTCTTTTTCAATGATATTTTTGGCAATGGTGTAGCACTCCTGCAATTGTCTCATCCATTTAATCAAGTTGGCAATTTAACGGTTGACATGTATAGTCCAAGCTTTGGCCCTGGTACTCAATGTTCAGTAATTGGTTGGAGCCCAGCAGAAGTTATGTGTGAGTTTATATAATCACTTATTCAGACTTTCTTTGTCAATACATTCAATGACATCTTAAGTTTGTTTCTTTCTAATCTGTTTTTCTTTCCTCTTAAGTAAACCTACCTTTTCAGGAATTCCAGACCACCATTGTAAACTGCGATCCATCAGACACCACAGAGATCAACATCTGCACAGAGGGTTTGAACTTTCAGCAGGTATTTGCAGAGTCCTTTTCAGTCCTTTTCAGTCCTTCAGGCTTGTCGTTTGATTTCTCAGACTGAAACAGATTTGAGTTACTGCGTACAATTATAATGCTTCCTAGAAATGTACCACTGTATGTTTAGTATGACGTTTGTCTCATTCGGGACGATAACGGCAGTCCTCTGCTGTGTAAAATGGGCGACATGTGGGTTCAGACTGGTATTCTGTCCATTCCCCCTGGCAGTGAGATCAGCCCATACTCCAACAGCACTTCATCCACAACAGTCTTCATCCAGACCTCTCCCTTCTCCTTCTTCCTGACTAACACTATCTACAACATCCCATCTATTCTGGATGGGGCAGAGTCATTCTCGCCCCTCTCTCTCACCTACATCCTTCTGCTCTCTCTCCCAGCACTCCTCCAGGCCTTTTACTGAAGCAGCCATCTGTCACTTTATCAAAGAATAAACATATTCAGTACATTATATGGGACATTATAGGCTATTTGCTCTTGTATTCGATATATAGCTATATACATTTTTAATTTTAATAAATAAAGTAAGTAAAGTGGAATCTTAAAACTTTGTATATTCCAAATAAAAAAAAAGTTTTGTTTCTCAATTTCTGTAACTCACACTCTCTGGTAAATGAACTCCAGAGTGTATTACACCTAAAATTATACAATTTAGATAAATTTGTGCTTATGTAAATCTGTCAGCACTACTTTAAGTATGGGTGTCTAAGAAGTCAATGTATCGTCCATAATAAAGCTGTTCATTGTCCTGAAACCTGAAGAGAATTATCCATTTTTGAGCCATGGGTTCCCTCGGGAATTTCCTACGGGTTTTGAGAGATTAATGAGTACTGTAAGGTCTGTGGCTAACATGAAAAGAAATTATTTTGTTAATAAATTATTAATTATTATTTTATTAATTAATGATTAATTATTTTATTAATACATTACAGTCATACCTTAACTGTGAATTTTGGAGCCACTTATTTTTATACAGTATACTTATAAACTCTGAATTTCTAGGCTCTCATGAATATTAGTAAATCCCAATAAGATATTTTTCAAATATTAGTGCAAAAAAAAAAAAATCAGTGCAGTGATTACTTAAAGACACTGAGAGTAATAAACTACATTATTCAAAATATACACATAAAAATAAAGCTTCTAGTTAAAACCAGAACACAAAATAACCTTTATAAGTTCAGAATGAACTTTTTAAAACCTTCTACTATCTAGAAACGGTGGTACCAAGGTGGACCCAGGTTGTGGTACATGTCTCTTTTTGCTGTGAAATCTTTAACGATTTTTATAAACTAACATAAGAATCATTTTTATATTGTTAGTAATATTTCAAGATGAATACTTATGGGACTGAAGCAACATAGTTTACTTGATTATCCATACATCATTTTTTTTTTAGAAATCATTTGAGTATGTTTGATACAGGCATTTGAGGAATGTTTATCTGTTCATCTCTCAATCATTATTGTATTGCATAACATTATTTGAGTAGTCCATATGTGGGACTAAACGTCAACTTTTTGATTGATGATGACCTCATGACCTTTCGTGACCTCATCAGACTGATCAATTTTGAAGAGTGATGGGTCATAAATGAACTTTTAGGTGTATTTTTTAACTCTCACATCCGGTGGCATCTGCTGACCACATGTGGGGTATTCGGCCGCATTCCATCACAGGATGTGCTATGGTCTCTCCCCCTTCTCTCTCTCTCTATGGGGATGTGAGAAAGATATTGGTTGATTTTCAGGACAATATCAAAAATAAGTAAAACAATACTCAGAGACAAAAGCATATTGTGGGCCTCGCCATGTTCTCTCTCTCTCTCACACACACACACACACACACACACACACATACACATTCAAATGTCCGAGTAAAAGGGTCTTATTCTCTTCTTTTAAATGCAATGAGTACAAATAAATTATGGGATTACCAAAGACTGTAGAATACCCAAGACGTGTCTACTATAGTTTTGAATGGGGGAAAATGCAACGCTTAACATGGCCGCTCAATCGCAGGAAGCCCCGCCTTCTGAATGTAATGCTGCGTTCCAGGCAGGTTTTTGAACCCGTAAGTCACGACTTCAAACCACGACTCACGACTTCGTAGCGTTCCAGGCAAGTCACGCCAAACTGCCTGAGCGCAATTGTAATAAACAAATCCATCATTAACCCTTTGAGTGGTACGGTCCCACAAATGGGATTTTTATTTCCGTGCCCCTGGGAGTATGGTCCCACATATGGGATTAATGCTGCGTTCCAGGTTTTTGAGCCCGTAAGTCACGACTTCAAACCACGACTCACGACTTTGTAGCGTTCCAGGCAAGTCACGCCAAACTGGCTGAGCGCAAGGAATTGTGGTAGCTAGATGTAAACAAACTTCTAGAATAAACAGATTATTTTGTTACACAAGTATGTCATTTGCACTACCCCCTGTATAGGCTCTGTGCACAGCTGCAGTCTTGACAGAAAGGGGCTGCCATTGTTGTTTCGCGGGCTATGTGACGTCAGAGCGCAGAACTGGGAGTACATCGATCTAGTACGAGTTAAAGGTGGGAAGTCACGGGTTTGACTGCCATTCCAGTGCACTTTCACGTGTAGAAGGTTGGAAAAACACGGATTACGGGTTGCCTGGAACGCGGCATAAGAGCCCGTCGCTAATCAGTGAAGTCAGCGCATCACTGCAGCTGCCGTTAGAAGCGTCCCGGTTGCTATACAGTCAGCGTTCTGAGACGTGCGGTTAGGACTGCGCATGCGCATTGGCTGATCTAGCCTGAAAAATAAGCTTTTTATAACGCTATTTGAGCAAAAGAAACTACATTTATGACACAGTTGTTGTCAGATTTCATTGGTGATTTCAAATATGAAATTTAATCGTAAGCTTATTGAACAGTTTGGGAGAATTTAATGTTTCCTCATACAAAGTGATAGGAGCTGCACTTGCATGTCCAAGAGGCGTTTCAAAGATGGCCGCCGAGTGACATGTGTAAGGTCCACGCACTTGGCCCAATGAAGGTATCCAGCGAAGACCCCGACGTCGTGGTGGCCTACCTCTCCCTCGGGGCCCAGGGCGATCTAGATGAGTGGAGTGAAAGGCTTACAGCAGCGTGGGATCGAGGATGTCAACTCTGGGAACCCATGAACGTTCCTCTGGCCCATAGCCTTCCCAGTCCACAAGATATTCTAAGAGACCACCACGGCGCCGGGAGTCCAAGATCTCGTCGAATTTGTAGATGGTACCTGGATTAACGATAGAGGGGGTTTTTCCGTCGGGCCAGGCTCTGTGGAGAGAGAAACAGGGGGATGGTGAGGTTTCAGCAGTGATACATGGAAGGAGGGGTGAATCTTATACTGTGGAGGAAGTTGGAGTTGATATGTGACCGGGTTTATCTGTTTGAGGATGGTGAAGGGGCCAACATATCTGGGTCTGAGCTTCTTGCAGGGCAGGCACATTCTGATGTCCCGTGTTGACAGCCATACCTTTTGACCCGGTTGGTAAGAGGGAGTCTCAGCCCTTCGAAGGTCTGCGGTAGTCTTGCCCCTGCGCACTGCCCGCTGAAGCTAATGGTGAGCTGTGTCCCAGACCCTCTCACTCTAATCGACAGAAGGGACATCCGACGGTTCCCCGGACCAGGGGAATAGGGGAGGCTGGTACCAGAGTACGCACTGGAAGGGAGTGAGTCCAGTGGATGGCTGATGAAGGGAGTTTTGCGCGTACTCTGCCCAGCCTAGGAACTGGTTCCAAGAGTTCTGGTGGCCATGGCAGAAGGTTCGTAGAAAACGCCCAATTTCTTGGATTTTCCTCTCCGTCTGCCTGTTAGACTGGGGATGGTATCCTGACGAAAGAGATCTTTCAGCAGCGAGATGGTGCTGTTGGCCCCTGGGTGGCCAGTGCCCAGAGAAGTGTGAACGGATTGAATCAGGGGAGTGTGTTGTGCTATGGTGACATACTGTACTCCTTGTGGACAGCCCGGCGGAGTGGTAGTTGAAGCATTGGCGGAGGTAGCTGGATTATTGTTCCATTGGATGGGGCTTACGATGATTTCCTTGGAGAGAATGGATTCTGGTTCCTCACTGAACTCTTCAGGAGCATGAAGACGAGAGAGAGTGTCCCCTTTCACATTTTTTGGGCCTGGACGATAGGAAATGGTAAAATTGAATCTAGTGAAAAAGAGCGCCCATTCTTGGGGCCTGGACGATAGGAAATGGTGAAATTGAATCTCGTGAAAAAGAGAGCCCATGTTGCCTGACAAGGATTGAGTCTCTTGGCGTCTCGTAAAAACTTTAGGTTTTTATGGTCAGTGAGGACACTGAATGGATGATGTGCTCCCTCCAACCAATGCCTCCATTCCTCCAGGGCTAACTTGATAGCAAGGAGTTCCTTGTTGCTGATATCGTAATTTTTCTCCACCGGGCTGAGTTTACGAGAGAAGAAGGCACATGGATGGAGTTTGTCTGGAGTCCCCTGCTGTTGTGAAAGCACCGCTCCTACTCCCGTAGTGGAGGCGTCCACCTCCACCACGAAGGGCTTGTTGGGGTCTGAATGGATGAGGAGCAGTGCAGAGGTGAAAGCTTTCTTCAGGGTTTCAAAGGCTTAAGTGGCAGCTGGTGACCAGGACAAGTGGTAAAACACATATAAGGGAATTTTGTCAACAATATAAGTATTATTCAACTTTGTGTTTAAAACGGACTTTGGAGTGTCTTGAAAAAGAAATTCTAATCATTGAAGGGAACGTGATGAGACAACCTTCTGTTAATTTACAAGAGTGGTCTGACAAAAAGTCAAAGTTGAGAGAAGTAGGTTTTTGTCAGTAAAAGATATGGACGGTCCTACCTCATTCTTTTTTAACTTGGAGCACAAAAGTGTTCAAGAAAAAAAGATGTATAGCTTGAAAAATAGTCATGGTCATGACACAAGTGATCCTATAGAAATGCCAGACTGGTAGTAGACTTTTATTCTAAGTTATAACTTGAAGCTTTGCTGTCTCAATTAGAAGAATGGTGTAGCATTTTAGGAGATTTTTTTCACCTGCAATTTTTATTTATGGTCCTAAGTATAACAAAAATAAAAAGCAGAACCACGTGATGATTAACTTTTTGTTTGGGCAGGCAAAAATGGCAATCTGGCTATCACGTAAAGCTAAATTAAATGGTATGGGGTCAATTTATGAAGGTTTAATAACCTGCAATTTTTATTTATGGTCCTAAGTATAACAAAAATAAAAAGCAGAACCACGTGATGATTAACTTCTTGTTTGGGCAGGCAAAAATGGCAATCTGGCTATCACGTAAAGGTAAATTAAATGGTATGGGGTCAACTGATGAAGTTTCAATTTTAAAGGGTTTAATAAAATCAAGGTTAAAGGTGGAATATGCTTATTATCAATTGGTTAAAGATATCGAGACTTTTAACTATATTTGGGGGGTGAACAAGTGTTTGCGTGAAACTGACATTGATGGTTCTTTGCAAATTTATGTTTAATTGTATTTTATT